GATGAACCTAAAGCAAGTTGGAAAATCTCGACAGAAGGTCTTCCTGATCCTCTTCTTTTGCCAGATAAGTTTGGACGCGGCCTCTCTCCAGTTCTTCTTTGCGAACATCCTTCGATGACGACATGGGCCAGTAATCTGGCGAGTCTTGCAGCTAGGGAGGTCCACTCCACCACAGTGACGAATTGAACAGCTCCGACGGTGTGATGCCTCTGATTGCCAGATCTGCCGGATTGCTCTTGGATGCCACGTGTCTCCAGTTCAGGGGTGGCACCTCGGACTGCAGAGCCGCTACCCAGTGCGCAATGAACGGTTTCCAGAGGGAAGCGTGGCCTCGTATCCAACAGAGAGTCACACTGGAGTCCGTCCACGCGGTGACTGCTGCAGGCAAATCCAGATCTGTTTGGATACGAACAATTAGGTTAGCTAGTAGTACCGCGCTACATAATTCCAGCCTTGGAATGCTGACCGTCTTGACTGAGGCTACTCTTGTTCTAGCCGCAAGCAAGGTGGTCCTGACGTCGTTGCCTGTGGTCACTCTGAAGTAGACGACCGCGGCATACGCTCGTTGGGAGGCGACACAAAAACGGTGCAGCTCGACATCTTGGCTCCGATCCGAATACTGCACCCAACGAGGAATAACCAAGGCGTCCAGTTGTCTGGGCGATCTCCTGAAGGCGATCCAGCCCGAGAGCAGCGATTTAGGTAAGTCTTCATCCCAGCCCTTGCCAAGTATCCACAGGTTCTGCATAAGAATTTTTGCATAGACCAGGACTGGAGCTCTCCAAGTCAAGGGGTCGAATAGACTGGCGACCTTGGAAAGAATCCGCCTTGGGCCTCCAGAACCCCTAGCGTGCTCGCGCCATCAACGTCCTGAAACAGGCAAGAATCGGCAGCATCGGCGTTCTGGATCCCTGGTAGATTCGACGCCCACTTGGTGAGTTGGAAGTCTCCGGCTTGCAGGATGAAAATAACCTGCCGTTTCAGCTCCCAGGCTTCTTCCTCACTGTTCGCGCCCACCAGGATGTCGCCACATAAGAGTGCCGACGAATTATGGACGCACCCACAAGAACCACTCTTCCTCGTCCTTCGCCGGCTAAAGGAGCACCCTCAAGGCCAAAAAGGGTGCGCAGGCCGTACCGTACGTGTGATTCCGCCCTCTGGGGTTGGAACTCGCGGCTGAGGAGGTACATGAGGTCGAGTGCCAGGAGCGCCAGGCCCGGAGGGACACGTTGGCCCGGTGGAAGGAAGAGCTTGCTTCATCGGGCCGTCCGATTGTCCGGGTCATCCTGCCCATATTTGAAATATCGTGCAGAATGCGGAGAAGGTTGACCTTCCGCCTCACGCAAGTGCTCTCCGGGCATGGATGCTTTGAGGAGTACCTGCACCGGATGGGGCGGGAGCCGACACCACAGTGTCACCACTGCGGCGAGGAGGTGGACACGGCGTGGCATACACTCGAGGAGTGTCCGGCATGGGCCGCGCCGCGCCGTGCCCTAAGAGTCGCAGTGGGTGGGTGGAACCTCTTCCTCGCGGCCATAGTCGACCACATAGCCTCGAGCAAGAGGTCGTGGAAAGCGGCGGCCATCTTTTGCGAGGAGGTCGCAGAATGAGGCCGACGAGCGAGCCCGGGAAAGAGACCCGGGCTCGGCAAGGGGACATGGGCGCGGGGACGTCCCTCGCGCCGGCGTACCCCCCTACGTGGGGGTATAAATAGTGGGGGGCCGTGAGGGGCGCCTCCGCGACATGTGCCTCGCATGGAGGCGGCGAATGTGAGGGGCCGGGGCTTGAGCTGACCCTAGCCCCCTGAGGGGATATAATTCCCCTCGGGACGGGCCGAGGTTGTGTGATCGGCCCGTCCAGATTTGGACCAACGGGTCCTGTGGTGGCGCATGGGGGGTGGGGTGGGAAGGGTCGGGGCGTGCCGGATCACGCCTCCGACGACCCTCTTTTACCGGTGTCGGCGTCTTCTTGTCCTGGCGTTCAGGAAGCTCTTTGTTTCCTGAACCAGTACGGACACTAAGATGCCGGGGACTGTGGGTGGACTGAGCGAGGGCTCGGGAAGCCCATTCCGACGGCCCCAGGGATAGGGACACCGGGCGGGGGGGGGGGGTCTTATAGAGTAGGTAGTGGGGAAAGCTAACACCCTTCCCCCGGGATTTATGTAAGCTGGGAAGCGTACTGCGAGTACTCGCGTGATCCAGGCGCTTCCCATGTAGCTTAGGTGGGTGTGGGGTTTTAGTAGTCCCACATAACCTGAAAAAAAAAAAGACCGTACCGTACGTGACCGTCGTAAGCCGATAGACCTGTATCGGTTGATCTGGATTGGAACGCCACAGAATCCTCTGCCAGTCCGCATCTGCCTGCTCCACCTGGATTTGCCTAAACATTTTTACAATGTCGAAAGTAAGTACAATTTTAAATAAACGCCAGCGCGTCAAAATAGTCCCGAGTTCTGAGTGTAACTTTAGTCCAGCTAGCAGGCAGTCATTCAAAGATCGCCCAAATACCGTCTGTAAAGAAGCGTTGAAGACGACCCAGATCTTTCCGCTGGGGTCGTGACGCTTCACCACCGCGTGATGCGGAATGTAGTGGACAAGATCCTGCTGCGTTGGCTCTGGAACGACTTCCATGTGACCCAACGATGAGTATTCGCTCATAAATGCTGAATACTTATCTCCCCAAGTTGAGTTGGAGGCTAGTCGACGTTCACAGCTGAGCAGCATCCTCAGCGCTGTGGACCTGTTCAGCATCAAAGCGTTTCCTGGATTTTGCCCAAACGGTAAGTGCACACAGTAGCGTCCAGTTGCATCTCGAGCGTGCGTGCTTTGGAAGTGCTGCTCACACTGCTCCTCTTCTGGTGAAAGCGGAGAGGGTTCTCAAAGCTCTTCCAGCTCCCAAAACCGCTAAAGCAACAAGTTCGTAGAATCCTCGCTTCTACAGTGAAGGCTGTGAGCAACCGCGCCGCTGGTACCTGTAGATTCGGAAACAGGTCCCATCAGGAACCACCCAAACGGCGTGCGCCGAGCCGTTGGCGTACCCGTCGGTCCGATGCAAGATTCGTCCTGAAACAAAGCTCCACAAATATCAGCACCTAGGATCGAATCCACGCGCGAAGGTGTCGTGAAGTCAGGATCCGCGAGCGTGATTCCTCGAAGATGAGGCCAGGATTGCATCTTCACCGGTCGAGAAGGCAACAAGGCGGTTAATTTCCGAAGAACCAAGGCGCGAACTGGCACACGAAAGCTGGAGTCAAGCCGCGAGTGCAAGAAAAAGGAAACCTTTTAGCCATGCCGTTCTCGTTCTCCTGCACGACGGAAATGGCAACCTTGACCGCCCGCCGTAGCAAATGCAGCGCCTGCGTGACCCAACTGGAGACCAGCGAAGTGACCGATACAGTCCACTATCACCTTGGCGGTGGCGAGGAGAGCTGTGGGTCGCACGGAAGCGGAGCATGCAAAGGAGGATGCGACATTTTGGAGGTCGGCGTCCGGACTGTTCAGGACCACACAGGCGCTCCGGGCTAGGGGTAAGAAAGCCTCCGGCCCCGATGGAGTTACCGGTGGCGTTTTGTCTCTGGCCTTGGGAGTCCTCGGCCCGGCTTACAGGAGCGTGTTAGACGCTAACCTGAGCTGGAGAACCTTCCCCACAGTGTGGAAGCAAGCGTGCCTGATTCTCCTCCAAAAAGGGGAAAAGCCCGCCGAGTCTCCCTCTGCGTACCGGCCAGTGTGTCTGCTTGACGAGGCGGGCAAGCTTTTCGAGAGAATCATAGCTGCCCGCCTCCTCGAGCATCTGTCGCGGGGTCGTCCCGACCTCAGCTGCAGCCAGTATGGCTTCCGGAGAAGCCGCTCAACGATTGACGCATTGCAGCGTTTGCGCCTCCTCAGGGATGAGGCTGTCGCTCGGGGCGGGGTGTTGATCGTTGTTTCATTGGACATATCCAATGCTTTCAACGCCCTGCCCTGGAAGGAGATAGAGGAGGAGCTGGAATATTTCCAGGTGCCCCCCTATTGGGAGCGTTAGGGCTGGAAGGGAATCGTCCGGGCATCGCCTGGTCGAGAACCCCGACGGATCTGATGTTCCACCAATATCCGTTCGAGCTTGCTTGGACAGTGAGGGGAACTTCGGAGAAGTTGGGGGCCCGACTGGCCCAAGTCCACTCATCGCACCTCCACGTGGTGCTCCTAGGCCTCCGCATCAGTAGTCGAGACTCGCTTGCGAGGACCGATTTGCTGAATGCGAAGTGCGAACGCGATGAGTTGGCAAGATGAGGAGTGGTCGTTCCCGCGCAGTGGCCCACTAAGATTGCTCCCCCCTGTGCGCTGGCTTTGTTTCCGCTGGCCTCAGGGGGGGGGGCTGATGTGTGCTTGCACTGCCGAGGTGGTAGTGCCGCGCGGGATCAGGAGCCGGCCCCTTCGGGACTTCGACCAAGTAGAGCGCGGTGAGGTGCGGGTGTCGGAGCCTGCACCTGTTACGGGCGGGTGCCCCCCTGTGCGGTATTCCCGGGGGGGAAGGGGTAAAGGCGAAGAACGGGACCCGGGGAACTGGGGTAGGGGGGCATGTCTTTCGTTAGGCATGTCCCCCGAGGGTACACCCGTTCCCATCCAGCAGCCTGCCCCGCCGCGCACTATGCGCCAGTAAACCTTAAATCATGGAAAATTTATTTAAAACCGTAGGAAGCAGTGGAGCCGAATCCGGGCCGGTGAAGCCTACGTCGATGTCAGGCCCAGTATGCCTTACTTGGGTCTGACGATCAACGTCCGCTGGCGCTTCGGAAATCACTTCCACCTCCTTGCCCTCCGAGTAGACAAGACATCGAATACTCTAGGGCGGCTGCTGCCGACTATCGGGGGGGGGGGGGGGGGGGGGGGGCAAACGTGAAGGTGCATCACCTCTACACGGGGATGGTGCGGTCTATAGCCTTGTATGGAGCCCCCGTCTGGTCCCGCTCGCTCGGGGGCCGCCGGCGCGGTCTCGCTCTTTTTGAACGAGTACGGCGCCGGATGTCCCTGCGGACCATTCGGGGTTACCGCACCGTCTCTGGGGAGGTCGCTGGCCTCCTGGTTGGAATCGCCCCACTTGACTTGGTGGCGGCGGAACGGGCGCGGCTATATCATATAGTTTGCGCCGCCCGCCGACCGCCAAGGGTCGACCTCGGCAGAGAGGAGGCCGAGGAGGTCGAAGAACACGTTTTCCCGGTGGAAGTAACGCTGGATTGATGCTCCATCAGGTCGTTTAATCGTCCGGGCCATCCTACCCGTATTTGATACGTGGTGCAGGGTGCGGAGAAGGCTGACCTTCCGCCTCACGCAGGTACTCACCAGTCATGGGTGTTTTAGTGAGTACCTCCATGGAGTGGGGCAGGAGCCAACCGCGCAATGTCACATCTGCGGCGAAGACGTGGACACGGCGCAACATACGCTCGAGGAGTGCCCGGCATGGGCAGAGCAGCGTCGTGTCCTCCGAGCCGCGGTGAGAGGGTATGACCTCTCGCTCGGGACCGTGGTCGACCACATGGTCTCGAGCGACAGGTCGAGGAAGGCGGTGGCCTCCTTCTCTGACACAGTAATGTCCGAGAAGGAGGCCGCCAAGAGAACCCGGAAACGGGACCCGGGATCGGCCCATAGGGTGTGGGCGCGGGGGCCACCCTCGCGCCGTAGACCCCCGCCAAATAGGCGGGGAGCTTTGAGCGGGACTGTGCGGGGCTCGCCCCCGCGTCAGGTCACGTCCCCTTCGCAAAAGGGGGGAAAGGCCAATAAGCGGAGAAGGCCATCGGAACGGGGTGTGAGCTGACCCCGGTCCATTGAGGGAAGCTATGCTTCCCTCGGGGTGGTCCGGCACCCGCTTATCCCCTCGGACTAGGGTGCCCGCTTCCCCCACAATTTGTCGTGGGGAAGGGCGGTGGGGCGGAGAGAGCCGAGGTGTGCCGGAACACACCTCCGACGGCTCTCCCTTGCCGAGAGTAGGCGTCATTCTGGTCCGTCCCGGGTGGGCCTTATCGTAGGGGTCTTACGCCTTGGACGGGACACGATAATGTCAGAGAGCTGTAAGTGGACCGAGCGGGGGCTCGGGAAGCTCAAGTCGAAGGCTCTCATGGGATGGGGACACCGGGCGGGTCACTCCACCCGGGGTCTTTTTAGCGTAGGGAAAGCGGGGGCTAACTGCCCGCATTGGATTTTATGTATAGCGGAGGCTGTCCTGTTGAGTACACGCGTGATCCAGGCAGTCTCCATTTAGCTATGAAGTGTGTGTGAGGCGCTACGTGCGCCCGTCAGGCCGGGCTGAGTCCCGCATACCCCTGCCTTTCCCCCCGGGAAGAGAGAGACGCACCGCGGAATTCCTCAGGGGTCAGTATTGGGGCCGATTTTGTGGAACCTGGTGTATGACGCTGTGCTGCGGGTTACCCTGCCCCCGGACACGGGTGTCATCTTCTATGCGGATGACACCCTGGTGTATGCCAAGGGGGAGGACTGGAGCAGGACCAGGCACCTTGCCGAGTCCGCCCTAGACTGTGTTGTCGGGCGAATCCGGAGGATGGGTTTGGCTGTGGCCGTCGCGATGTCCGAAGCAATCTGGCTTTACGGATTGTCCCGGGCGCGGCGGCCGCCCATCGGTGTGGACCTCTGGATTCGCGTTGTGGATACCTCCCCCGATATCAGGTCCACCATGAAATACTTGGACCTGATCGTCGATGGCCGCTAGCGCTTCAAAGAGCACTTTGACCTCCTGGCCCACCGAATGGAGGGGACGGCAGTCGATTTAGCGCGGCTGCTGCCGAATATCGAGGGCCCGGAGATGAGGGTCCGCCGCTTATACGCGTAGGTGGTGCGATCAATGGCCCTATATGGGGCCCCCGTGTGGCACCGCTCGCTTGAGGCCGGCAGGCGCATTCGTGCTTTTTATGAAAGAGTGCGGCGCCGGCTGTCCCTGCGGGCCATACGGAGATACCGCACCATCTCTGCCGAGGCGGCGGGACTCCTGGCCGTGATTCCACTCTTCCATCTGGCGACAGCGGAGCGCGCGGCGATGTACAGAATTGCCTGATCCGCCCGTCGCCCTCTGGGGGTGGAACTCGCGGCCGGGGAGATAGAGAAGGTCGAGGTGCAGAAGCGTCACGCCCGGAGTGACACGCTAGTCCGTTGGAAACAAGAGCTTGCTCCATCGGGCCGTCCGATTGGCCGGACCATCCTGCCCATATCCTATATATGGTGCAAGACGCGTGGAAGGTTGACCTTCCGCCTCATTCAGGTGCTCTCTCTGGGCATGCATGCTCCGGAGAGTACCTGCACTGGATGCGGCGGGAGCCGACGGCGCAGTGTCACCACTGCGGCGAGGAGGTGAACACGGCGCGCCATACACTCGAGGAGTGTCCGGCTTGGGCCGCGCCGCGCCGTGTCCTTAGAGCCGCAGTAGGTGGGTGGGTCCTCTCGTCGGGGCGCTGCGCCTCCGCGTGTGGGAACGGTGAAATGACGGTCGCGGGAGGCGTCCCCGAGCCGACCTGTGGCGCGAACCGTGTCTGCGGCTGTGGAGGGCCGGGACGTTAGCTGGCCCTGGCCTCCGTAGGGGCCATGATTCCCCACGGGACCGGCCGACCTTGTGTGGTCGGACTGGCCCCAGTAGGACCACGGGGTCCTTCTGGAGCGCGTGAGGGTTGGGGTGGGGTAGTTCGGGGCGTGCCGGATCATGCCTCCGACGATCTTCCTTTACCGGTGTCGGCATCTTCTTGCCCAGTCTGCGTGGGGACCCTTAGGTCTTCTGCAGCGGAATGAGCACGAAGGTGTCGGGGGCCGTGGATGGACCGAGTGGCGGCTCGGGAAGCCCATATTGCTGGCCCTGGGGATGGTGACACCGGGCGGGTCTCTCCGCCCGGGGTCTTATACAGTAGGGTGTGGGGGAGTTTAACACTCTCCCCCCGGGATTGATGTTAGCTGGGAAGTGTCCTGTTGAGTATTTACGTGACCCAGCGCTTCCCTCGTAACTTAGGCGTCTCTCCAGAGAAGCGGAGCTATGCGTAATGCATTTCCCTGTGATAAAAAAAAAAAAGATCGGCGTCCGGAGTTGACGAAGTCGGCGGTTTCTTCTCCCGCTGCGTCGCGTTCGTTGACAGAACTGCTATCGCCTCGTGGAGCAGCGTGTGATGTCGTTTGCTACACGCTAAGCAAACTCGAACGAACGAGCACTTCGCGACATCATGACCCACGGTTAGACAATTAAAACACGCTTTCAACTGTTGAGCTCATTCCTTCCTTTTCTGTGGAGACAACGATGTAAATTTCGGGCAATATGAAAAGTTATGATTTCCGTAGTACGTAGGACACTTCCGAGACACGGTACTTTTCGTCGATGCAGCGAAGACTGCAGCGTTCCTTTCCTTCACGGACGCTTCATTTTCTATTTTAGGCGGCACCGGCGCATTCCTGGACGGTGCAGCGTGCAACACCGGGACGCTCGTGAGGGCGCCATCCAACTCTTGGATGCGATTTTCCAGGAAGGAAGACGAACTAATCGCCTGTCTGAACGCGTTTAAAAATCTTTTAAGTTTCGCGGTGGACTGTTGTTGCGCGGGAGGGTCCACGAGAGAAGTGCGCGATGATGCGAGAAAGACAAGAGACGCAAATTTCCGTATCGCTTTTCGAGATCCTTCCACACTCTTTGGTACCCGGCCCGGGTGAGAGGAGTATTCCTGATGACCTCCGCTACTTCGCCGGTCAAAGCTGACTCGAGGTACATTAACTTGTGTACGTAGCTTCGGAAGGTCGTCCACGAGGCTTTTAAATGAATCGCGAAAACTCTCCCATTGTAGAGGATCTCCAGAGAACGTGGGCAGTTAGGTTTTCGGCAATTGCACCCTTTCATCTGGGTCGGAAAGTACCTGCCCTTTACCCGACGGGCCTGCGGTGGCCGAGTCTGAAAGACACTGCGTCGATGCTACGTCAAGGTATGCTTCTTTGATGATAGCGAAATGGTTTTGCCTAACATAATCGCTAGCTGTGGCTTCTTTACACATCAAAAGTTGACGATGACCTTTTAAAAACGCGTCCCAGTACCGTTCCAACAAGACTCTACGCTGTTCTAAAACCACCGGGGTTATTTTATCCTTCCCTAATTTACTAAGGTTGGTCCAAAAATGCTGAATCCAACGTCCGAGTTCAAGCTGCTCCCGTAAAACATCAGCAAAGGATACGAGACTTATCGCAAACCGTTTGTACAAATCGGTGCGTTTCCAGAAAACGTTGCGAGAAGCGACGGTTCACGGTTCAAACGGTTCCCATGTTCGTTTGGAAACACTGGCGCGACCGCGACGTCCATACCCGTGGTTTGTAACCGATAGCGAGAATTTGAACAAAGTACTTGTCTTTTATTCGTTGAATTCTCGTAGCACTAAGTCCTTTTTACTTAATGCAGTCCTTCACCCTTTTAGCCGGTCAGTCTGCTGATGATGGAGCACTTCACTGTTCACCCACGTCACAAGAGAAGAAAAAACTGTTTGAGTACATGATCCGGCTCGAAGGACCAGAATGTTCGTTCGATATCGTCCCGCGGCCTTTCCCCGGGATTAGCTTACGAACGGGAGAAGAAAAATAAGCTGCCTGAATCGTGGTTTTACCAAAGCAGTTTTTATTGCTTCCGTGGTGAAATTGTACTAATTATTATACAACAAAATTATGACTCAGTCTAAGAATTTATGCTGTTTCAATTTATTCCCGCGGGAATAACGCCCGTAGCACCGATTCAGAAAATAAGATTTCCGAGAAAACTCGTTACGATTGACTAGCTGACTCGTTAAGATCGATCGCCAAAAATCACGGTAACGAATGATTTGACTTCGGTTCGTGCTTTGTATATATTATCGTTCTCGGTATCACCTGCCACCTCTCCGATCCTTCTCGCCTTGCTTTGTACGGCCAGCGAAACGAGCGAGAGCAAGAGAGCATCAGGAGAACACGGAGAACGTAGTATATGCGTTTAAAATTCAATTGTAATATACAGTTTAGTTCGAAGCCGAGGTTCGCGTTCGAATACTCGTCTTGGCGTCAGCTACAATCTTATGATGTTGAAAATAAAGGATGTAATCCAAAAATTACCGACCTTCAAAAAACCTTGAAAATTACAAAATTCTGAAATTTTTGTTATATCCTTATATTTCCCCCCTTAAACAGTACAACTTTTTTCTCTAATATTTTCTTCTATATTTAAGTCGAACTGAGATAATTAGGTGTTTTGTTTTTCGTAAACCACCCGGTATAATAAAATATTGGGAAATATATAATAAAATATGAAAATATAACTAAAATAATATAATATAAAATACCTGCAGAAAATAAAATAAAAAAATGAAAACATTTTTTTTTTATATTTTTAATGACAAGTTAAATGTTGTGACGTGGCAGAACTTTTCTGCCCGTCACAAAGGCACCCTGACCCCGGAGGGTCCTCGCTCCCTCCTCGCCCGAACACGCCGCAGAGGTGATCGCGTGTTTGAAGGTATGCGTGGCCCGCGGCCCAGTAGAGACACCCCTTTCTTTTTGGCGCCCTCTCGCGCTCGCGATCAGGGCCGCGTCTTTGCAAGAGCTCGGCAAGTCGCCGGTCGCGGTGTCCTCAACCCAAGGACCCGGGTGTGGTTACCACCAAAGAGGACTTGCCAGCCTCGGAAGATGGTCAGCCCTGCCATCGCCCTCCAGCTGCCACCGGAGCCCGCACCGTTGGAGATACCATGGTGGTGGCACACCGTAAGGAGCCCCTTAAAACTCCTGGGTGGGGAGAGCCGCGAGCCCGCGACGAAAAGAGCGCGA